CAAGAGGGCCAGGCTCCGTCGACTGCAAGTGTGGGATGCTCCCAGAGTACCCGGCGCTGGGAGACCTCCAGGTGAGATGGATCTGGTAGTCTCGACCTGCTGCCTGGGTCCTCCTTCGCGCGGCTGTGCTGCCGGGGTTGCGACGCCGCATGGGCCGCCGCGGCTCCCGCGAAGTGGGGTGTCGATCCTGGCGTGGCCAAGGGGTGTCGCCTTGGTCCACGCTGCTGGCACTGCGGCTGGCTGCCCGAGTAGCTCTCCCACTCTTGCTGCAGCCTCGCCCCGTCGCGGTGCTGGTTGCCTGCCTGAACCCAGGTGGCAGTGGGGATCGCGGCCTGAGGGAGTCGCTCAGGTCCGCGCTTGGAGCGCTCAAACTTGGCGTCGCCGTCCTGTGGGTGGTCCCCACCCTTGCCCACAGTTGCGGCGTCTAGGGAATTAGTAGTGCAGGTGGTTCGTCTGCTGCGTCTTTTGAGTCGGGGCTCCCTAGTAGAGCGTTGGTGGTTTGAAGCGGATGCGGCATCCCCCAGGCTCGCATCGGCTTGGACGTAGCTATGTAGTGTAATGGAAGCTAGGTGCGATCGCGTGCGTGCGGCCAGGGGCCGTGGGCGGGGGTCGTTGGGCGTAGGCTCGTCACCGCACGGGTCTCTGAGTCTGGGCCCAATATCCCCGATGTCTTCTGGTGCGGCTGTCTGGACGCAGGTCTGGGCCAGTTGCCCCCCAGCCTGCGTGCTCCAACTCAGTTTTTTGACAGTCGACCCCCGTCGAGGTCGCTCTCGCCGCTCTCGATGAAGGATGCCACCCTGTCGCCTGGGTCCGCGAAGCCATCGTCCGCGTCGCAGATCCTGACCTTTTTCGGCTGGCTCCTCGCCCTCCTGGGATCCCTTGGCTGCTTCAGGTTACCTCTGCATGGAGGTGCCGAGCTCGTCCTCTCTGGCGTGCCCATGTGGAATCGCGGTGGTGGCAGCCGTGGCTCGTGTGGCACGGTGGGCGTGGTGTCCTCAATCGGCATCCGTGGAGGTGTGCTAGGGCAGGCCTCCTCGTCGCGGCTGAGGTCGATGAACAGCGTCGTCATGGGGGTTTTGGCTGGCTGTGATCGCTGTTGTGGGGTCTTGTTTGGCGTGAGAGGCGTGACGGGCGGGAAAAGTATGTGTCTTGGCGTGGGCTGTTCTGTCGGGATGGGTGAGTCGGCTGGTAGCGTTGGTGAGAGTGAGGCGAGGTCTGTCGGGGCTTCGTCCTCCTTCTCCTCGCGCAGGCCTTGGCAGATCGTCGTCTCTTCGTCCTGCAGGTCGGCGTCGTCGGATTCACCAATTGGGATGCAGTCGCTGTTCGCCCGTACGTCGAGCAGCCCCGAGTGCGAGAATGGGTCGACTCTGTTGTGCTCCTCGATGCGCGGGCGCTGCTGAGGTGGTGGTGGTGGTGGTAGCGGACCCTCTTCGGCGGATGTCCTCGGCACGAAGCTTTGGTCCTGGAAGCTGAGGTCGTCGCACGACGAGAGCGCAGGCTCCTCTGGCGTTGGCGTCGACGATGTATGAGACCTCTCTCCAAATCCCACCTCGGCCAGCTCCTCGAGGTACGGCGGTAGTTCTGGATGTGGAAGTTCGTACTGGCTAGGTAATAGCCGGAGTAGGTCTGCCTCCAGTTGCTCCCTCTGGTACGCGCCCTCCTGCTCCGCCATGCCTTGGTCGCGCTCACTCGTGACTGGGTCTTCCATGAGGTCGTCCGTCATGTCGAGTAGCAGGTCCTCGTCCACTTGTCCTCCTGCTCCCCAGGCGTCCCGTAGTGCGTTCTGGAGTCCTGCCGTTTGCGTATCATATGCGCGTTGGAGGCCTTGTAGTTGCTGCTGCCTCTGTGCGTCGCTCATGTGCTGGATGTGGGCGTAGTGCTGCGCCACGGCCTGCATCTCCTGCTGGTGCTGGTGCTGCAGAGTGCTGTGGTACTGCTGAGCCACGTGGTTTTCCATCTCCTGCTGGTGCTGCAGTGCCTGGAGCTCGCTTGTGGCCGCTGCTTGTCGCTGCAATGCCATCTCCTCCATCCTTTGAGCTTTGTCCACCGCCTCCTGGTGCTCCCCGACGCGCTCCAGGTACTTTTCCTGCTCGTGTTGCATCTCGTATGCCTTCGCCTGGATGGCTGCGTGCTCCAGGTTCAGGACGACCCGCATCGCTTCGCGCCTGTTGGCTTCTTCCTGGTGCTCGTAGGCCATCTGCTGGTAGTTCACTGCGATCCGCAGCTCCTCATCCTTGTAAGCGCTGCGACGGGCGCATCGCTCCTGGCATTCCGCCTCCGCCATCTCTTGCGTGGCCTTTTCATTGTGCTCCTGCGCCATCTTGCACCACTGGGCCTCCTGAGCCGCCATTTGTCTCACAGCCTGCTCTTCCTGCCTGGCCTTCTGGACCTGCTGCGTGTAGATGGCTGCTCTTCTCTGGTCTTCCTTGTGCATCTCCTCGCGTAGTGTCTTCTTTTCCAACTCAAGATGCATTTGCAAGTCCACGAGCATCCCTTTGGCCCTTTCCTCCTGTGTCCTCTGGCTGCCTCTTTGTGCCTCGTATGCTTTCGCTTCCTCCTCCTCCAGCTTGGCGTTGTGGTGCCGCTTGAGCGCGTTAACCTCCCATGTGTGCCACTCCTCCTGCTTGGCCAGCTGCGCTTCGGTCGTGTGGAACATCTTTTGCGCCATGGTCTGCTCGTAGGCCTTCAGCTCGCTTTTGTGCTTGAGCTCTGCCTGTGCCAGCAGGTCACTTTGCTGCTGTTCCTTCTTCTGCTGCGAGTCGAGCCTCTCGGTCAGTTTCCTGATGGCGTCTTTGGTCTCGTCTGGTGCTACTGGGGCTGATCGTGCAGTTGTTGCTGGTCCCGAGGAAGCACTCGCTGCTGTGGCTGGCTGAGCTGTGGCTGGTGCCGCTAGAGCTGCAGTTGGGTCGCGCCTCCTCCTCGCGGCCGGGTGTGGCGCGCGTCCTCTGGTGGGGTCCTGGCTCCCCTCTTCCTCTGACGATTCCTCCTTCACGCCCGCTGACTTTGCCATTTGATCTCTGGTTTCCCTCATCAGGGTCTTGTAGACCCTGATGGTTTTGGCGGCCGCCGCCTCCTGGTCGAGCATCTTGCTGAGCCGCTTCTCCATCTCGGCATGCTCCTCCCCCAGCTTTTCCAGCGTGGCCCTGAGCTGCTTCATGCGCTCTTTGTGGGGCAGGACGAAGGAGATGCTCGTGGCGGTGATCGCCGCTTCCTGCTCGAGGCTGGATGTGCACAAACCCGCCAGCCTAGCGCCATCGATGTTCTCGGAGAGGCGTCCCAGCCTGTGGCACTTCGTCTTGTACCACACGAACCTCATCTCCTCGTCGTCTGGTGGTACGGACCAGCTCTCATGTTCCATCGCGACGGCGAAGGAGACTGGCGTGATGCTGTCCAGGACTGCCTTTTGCTGAGGGCTGTACTGGAAGCTGCCGATGTAGGCTGAGGCTGGCGTGTCGAGCTGGTCCCTTCTTCTGCGCCTGCTGCTTCTCCTTCTGGCTGAGGCGTTCCTCCATGGCGCACTGTGCTTCCAGTGCTGGCCGCTGTCGCTTCGCTGCTGGTGCTGTGGGTGCTTTTGCTGGTGCTGGTGTTGGGCTGGCTGGTGGTGGTGCTTCTGGGTCTGAGGCTGCTGCTGCTGCTGCTGCTGACTGTGCTGCCTCCTCTGCGAGTTGTGCTGATGGCCATCCCCGAGGGTCCACTCCCAGGGTCGCCCTCCGATGGCTCCGTAGTCACCAGTCCAGTCATTGGCACTGTTGCTGCGTCTGCGCTGGCGCTGCGCCTGGGCTGTGGACCCTGCTCCTGTCCACCTTTTCCCAGGGCCGCGCCGCGACGCCTCGAGGTGTGTGGTCCGTGCTCCTGACCACCTTTCCCTCGAGGCGTCGCGCTGCTGTTTCCAGTTCTGCTCCATGGCGTGCTGCTGGTGGCGCTGGGGCTGCTGCGCGCTGTGGTGCTGCTCCAGCCTGCTGGCTGCAGCCGCCAGTCTTATCAGCAGCCTGTCTTGTCCTCTTTGGGTCCTGGCGCGGCGGTGCCAGGCTTCTTCCTTGGTCCTGGGCGTGGCGGTCGGGGTGACCGCCGCGGCTGCGGCGCCTCTTTGTCTTCTCTTCGATGGCTCCGCGGCGCGCGAGCCACGACCGACGGGGCGACCGACGACGAACGATGCCGCGACGGTCCCAGCCCCTCCTCGGCCGTATGGCTTCCTCCTCCTCCTCCTCCTCCTCCTCCTCGTCCTCCTCCTCCTCCTCCTCCTCCTCCTCCTCCTCCTCCTCCATATCCTCCTCCCCCTCCTCCTCCACGTCCTCCTCCTCCCCCTCCTCCTCCACGTCCTCCTCCTCCCCCTCCTCCTCGGGTCGCCGTGCAACTGGCGGCACGGCCAGTTGTCGAAACCGGGGCAGCTGCCGTTACCCATCGGTCGTTGAAAGCAGGTGCTTTTGGATTCCCAGATTCCAATCTACTTTGAGCGCCTTTCTGTTTCAAGGATCGAGTGGCTTCACCTCTTCCCTCCTCCCAAGGAGGCGGTCGGACACCCAATCTACTTTCAACGCCTTCCTACTTCATGTTTCTACCTACTTCTTCCGACCGAGGGGTACTGTTAGGGGATCGTCGAGCGCGTGGGACATGGTCGCATGGTCATACGGCCAAACGCCAAGTAAGTCCACCGAGGCGCAGGGGGTCCTTGAAGACCGCAGGGCCAGAGCGGGACCCCGTCCCTGGAGGCAGCGCTTCGCCTCAGATCCGCTTTTTTGATCCAGCGCTGACAGCGGGCCCTGCGAGGCCGAAGTCGAGGAAATCGCCGAGGTTGGGCAGCTCTGGACACGCTGCTGTCAAATCCTGACGCCTCGGGTGTTGCCCAAGGTGTCCCTGGCCCAACGGTGTCCCTGGCTTTTCGAGCCATCTCTGGCCCCTGTGCCTCCCAGGAAGAGCTGGCGGCACCTTAGACCGGGGTCGCTTCCAACACACGAGCGTTGCTGTCGGGTCCTGACGTCGCTGCTTGCTTTCACTGCCAGGACCACGGCCAGCTGCGGTTGCCGGTGGGCTCGGCCACGTTGCCGCAGCTCTGGCGGGGTAGCTCTTCCGCCGCGTTCGACGCGAACCGCGACTGGCAGGATCGGGTCAGACTATAGAGATTAGAGGGGGGATATGGCCAGGGTGGGATACGAAGCCTGCTGCATGCAGCTCGTTTCGGCACCGCCTTCTGGCGCTTTCCTCGATACATTGGCGCGTCTGGCAAGGGGAATACCAGCCAAACGAGCTGATTCGCTAACTCCCCCTACCCTTGACCTTCCAGAGTGCTGCACTTAGCCCTCCAGGCCTGCAGACTTGTCAGGGCTGCTTGGAGAACCGCTCAGGATTTGAATTCGAGCGTCCTGGTCTCATGTGTCACCCCTCCCAGAAGGTCAGGGCCGCTTGAACGCCCCCGCTTTGTCCGACCCGGCAGGAGATCACCAGGCGCATGGAGGCGGCCCGGCAGGAGACGGCGGCGCGCGCGAGGGGGCGGGACGGCGTTGCGACCCGGGTCTCCGACGGTGTGGCATGCACAGTGGAGGGCCCATGCCAAGAAACACCCTGCTTGCCTCCAGGGTGCCCTGGGTTTATTGGGTGTCGATGGTTTCGTGATGGAGGGCGATGGAAGCCCTGGGGTCTCAGGGTTGGGTTTCTTGTGGAAGGTTTACTGTGGACTGGCCTCCCCTGCATTTCCAAACCCGTCGGTTATCCTCGGTCCGGCCTCCTGCGGCAGCCCTCGACGATCCTCAGCTTTTCGAAGGCCCTCACTGGTTCCTGGAGACTTTCTCGCCTGAGGACGCTTTCCAGCAGTTGCGCCTCACCGAAAGCGCTCCTGGGGGCCCAGATCCGATTCGGTATCGATTTCGGCTGGCGCGATCCGATTCGGTTTTGAAGATCCGACGATTCGATGCTGCCCGATGCTTGCATGGTGTTGCTGTGCATCCTGTCAGCCGATGCGATTTGATATCGGTTCTCCGTGCCGACTCGATACAGCCGATCCGACGCACGTGTCGATCCGATCCGATGTTGACCGGTCTTGCCGTCTGTCTGAGGCAGGATCGGCGGCGGAATCCGATTCAACCAACTCGATGGGTGGCGGGGATAGGGCACCGAGTTCGAAATTCGTCGAACACGTGGCGAAGTCCGAACCCTACCCCCGCAGGAGAATCGATGGTGTGGGTAGGGCTCGAATGTCACCACCCCCGCGAGAAGCGGCGCCACCATCGGCGGGCGAGGAGGTCCACGAACCCCCCCACCCGAGGCGGAGATTGGGCGGGGCGCCGCAAAACGGGGTCCGGCAGGCCCAGTACATCGCTCCAGAGCGTTCTGTGACCATCATAATTGTTACTGGGACGAAAAACCATGGCCGGGAGAGTGCATTGAAGGCATGATATCGTCGGATGTCTGGGATTGCAAAGAGTTCTTTCGTTTTGGAACGCTGTGAAACGGCCGCGGCGCCCAAAGTATCCTCAAGACCCGGCGTTCTCCTACTGATGCATTCCCGTCCATATATAAAAGTACCTGCACGTGTTTCTTCTCGTGATTGCCGATCGGTGCGACGCCCTCCTCTTCGTAGCTGTGTGGCTTAGGAGGCAGCTTTGCGGCCAGACCCCTCGGTTTGACCCCTATCGTTTCCCTCCTCCCCCCGTTGATCCTGCTTCTTTTCCTCCCCCTCCTCCTCCTTCCGCTCCTCCCCTTCCCTTCCCCCCCTTCCTCCTCCTCCTCCTCCTCCTCCTCTTCCTCGAACCAGCGAAACTATAAACCCTGTTGTCATCAGCCTCAGAAGGAATCCTTGTCCAGTCCTCCTGCAATCTTCTACAAAAGCAATCCTTGAGTAATCTTCCATGAGCACGAACCCTTTTGTAATCGTCCACAGAAAGTATCCAGATGTAGCTCGTGAAAGAATGAATACATGTTGTAATCTTCCGCAGAAGGTATTATGTTGCAACCCGCTGCCACAGGAATCCTTGTGTAAGTCGCCACAGAAGGAATTACTTTGTATTATGTAACACGAACATTTTGTAACCCGCCTCCAAAAGGATCTGTGTGCCACAACAGGGGCCCGTCTTGTAATCCCCCGGAGAGACAGGGGCCCTCGTCCCCGAACAAGTAAAGGAAAAAAAGACAGAAAAAAAAAATAAAAGTAATTATCATGGCGAAGGTCCCAACCATATGCAGTTGTGGGTACCGTAATTGTGAATATCTGCTTCGGTGAAGCTCCCTATGGGGCCACGAAGCGCTGCACTGGGCGGGGGGGAACGCTGTACTGTGTGGGTGGTGTGCCGGATTGGGTCTCCGGGACGCATGCGGACGGTCCCACTTCGGTGGAGCTCCCTATGGGGCCACGAACGCTCTACTGAGTGAATGAAAATGCCAAATTGGGCTACCGGGACGCATGCGGACGGTCCCATTGGGGGCTTCGGTGGAGCCCCCTTATGGGGCCACGAAACGCTGCACTGCGCGGGTGAAAATGCCGAATTCTTTACGCTTCGCGTATCCCCACCAGCCCATCTCACAGCAGCAACTCTTGCGAAGCATGCCGACAGTCGTGTTTTTCAGGCGTGTGTCCGCTTGGCCCCGCATATCTCCCCTGTTCCTCCTTCCTCCCGCCTCCTTGTACATCCTCCTTGTGGGGGGAGCGGGAGAAGGACGAGGCGGAGGAGGAGGGAGAGAAAGCGCTCCTCGTGGTTTGAGTCGTTTGGGGTTTCTCGTCCTGGTGTGAGTCGTTCGGGCCCTTCTTCCTGGTGTGAGTCGTTCGGGCTCTTCGTGGTGTGAGTCGTTCGGGCTCTTCGTCCTGGTGTGAGTCGTTCGGGCTTCTCGTGGTGTGAGTTGTTCGGGCCCCTCGTCCTGGTGTGAGTCGTTCGGGCCCCTCCTCCTGGTGTGACTCGTTCGGGCTCCTCGTGGTGTGAGTCGTTCGGGGCCCGCGTCGTGGTGTGAGTCGTTCGGGCTCCTCGTGGTGTGAGTCGTTCGGGCGCCTCGTCCTGGTGTGAGTCGTTCGGGCCCCTCCTTGTGGTGTGAGTCGTTCGGGCTCTTCGTGGTGTGAGTCGTTCGGGCCCCTCGTCCTGGTGTGAGTCGTTCGGGCTCCTCGTGGGGCCTCTTGGGGGCCTCTTGGAGCCTCTTGGGGCCTCTTGGGGGCCTCTTGGGGGCCTCTTGGGGGCCTCTTGGGGGCCTCTGTGGGCCTCTGGGGGCCTCTTGGGGGCCTCTTGGGGGCCTCTTGGGGGCCTCTTGGGGCCTCTTGGGGGCCTCTTGGGGGCCTTTCGGAGGCCTCTTGGGAGCCTCCTGGGGGCCTCTTGGGGCTATCTTGGGGCCTCTTGCGACCTCCTCAGAAGCGCAAATGAGCGCTGCCCCCTGAGAAGGACAAAATGAGCCCAAAACCTTCGTAAAATCAATGATTTTGCTATGAAGGAAGATGTGCGCGGCCCCCTCAGGAGGCCAAAATGGGGCCAAAACCGTAGTAAAATCAATGATTTCTGCTTCAAAGACGAGCCAAACTCCCTCCCCCCGGCGGGGCCAGAATCCTCGAGAGGGTCGTCGTGTTTTGGCCCTCCCAGGAGTCGAAAAAGACCCCCCTGACACCGCTCGGGACTCCCTCTCCAGGTCCAGGGGGAGGGGGTAGGGGGAGGGGTAAACCCCTCCCCGAAGGGGAAGAAGGGGGGTTCAGGACAGAGCGGGCTCTCTAAACCACTCACGCCCAAAGGGCTGGTGGGATTACATTTCCCGGACGCATACGGACAGTGGCACTGGGGCCTTGGGTGGAGCCCCCCTTATGGGGCCACGAAACCCTGCACTGGGCGGGTGAAAATGCCAAATTGGGCTTCCGGGGAGCATGCGGACGGGGGCATTGGGGCTTTCGGTGGAGCTCCCGATCGGGCCACGACACGCTGTACTGGGTGGGTGAAATGCAAGGAGGAGGGAGAGGAGGGCCACGAAACGCTGTACTGGGTATGCGGGACGCATGCGGACGGTAGCGCTGGGACCTTCGGTGGAGCTCCCTATGGGGCCACGAAACGTTGTACTGGCTGTGCGGGACGCACGCGGACGGCGGCACTGGGACCTTCGGTGGGGCTCCCGATGGGGCCACGAAATGCTGTACTGGGTGGGTGAAACGCAGGGAGGAGGGGGAGGAGGGCCACGAAACGTTGTACTGGGTGTGCGGGACGCATGCGGACGGTAGCACTGGGACCTTCGGTGGAGCTCCCTATGGGGCCACGAATCGCCGCAGTGGGTGTGCGGGACGCATGCGGACGGTAGCACTGGGACCTTCGGTGGGGCTCCCTATGGGGCCACGAAACGTTGTACAAGGTGGGTGAAACGCAGGGAGGAGGGGGAGGAGGGCCACGAAACGTTGTACTGGATGTGCGGGACGCATGCGGACGGTAGCATTGGGACGTTCGGTGGAGCTCCCTATGGGGCCACGAAACGCTGTACTGGGCGTGCGGGACGCATGCGGACGGTAGCATTGGGACCTTCGGTGGGGCTCCCTATGGGGCCACGAAACGCTGTACTGGGTGCGCGGGACGCATGCGGACGGTAGCACTGGGACCTTCGGTGGGTTCCCTATGGGGCCACGAAACGTTGTACTGGATGGGTGAAACGCAGGGAGGAGGAAGAGGAGGGCCACGAAACGCTGTACTGGGTGTGCGGGACGCATGCGGACGGTAGCACTGGGACCTTCGGTGGAGCCTTTTATGGGCCACGAAACGCTGTACTGGGTGTGCGGGACGCATGCGGACGGTAGCACTGGGACCTTCGGTGGGGCTCCCTATGGGGCCACGAAACGCTGTACTGGGTGGGTGAAACGCAGGGAGGAGGGGGAGGAGGGCCACGAAACGCTGTACTGGGTGCGCGGGACGCATGCGGACGGTAGCACTGGGACCTTTGGTGGACCCCCCCATGGGGCCACGAATCGCCGCAGTGGGTGCGCGGGACGCATGCAGACGGTAACACTGGGACCTTCGGTGGGGCTCCCTATGGGGCCACGAAACGCTGTACTGGGTGGGTGAAACGCAGGGAGGAGGGGGAGGAGGGCCACGAAACGTTGTACTGGGTGCGGGGGACGCATGCGGACGGTAGCACTGGGACCTTCGGTGGGGCTCCCTATGGGGCCACGAAACGCTGTACTGGGTGGCTGCAACGCCGGGAGGAGGGGGAGGAGGGCCACGAAACGCTGTACTGGGTGCGCGGGACGCATGCGGACGGTAGCACTGGGACCTTCGGTGGAGCTCCCTATGGGGCCACGATACGTTGTACTGGGTGTGCGGGACGCACGCGGACGGTAGCGTTGGGACCGTCGATGGGGCTCCCTATGGGGCCACGAAACGTTGTACTGGGCGGGCAGGGGAGGAGGGCCACGAAACGCTGTATTGGATGTGCGGGACACATGCGGACGGTGGAGAAGAGGAGGGGGCAGAGGAGGAGGGGAGAACGCGGGGACCGTCTCTCCAAAACGAAGACCCAACACCACAGGATGGTTGGGACAAACACATTTAAAAGCACAGAGAAACATGGGAAAATGAAAAGCTCCTCAGTGATAAAAATGACAACTAAGAAACATCGCCGCGACAATGAAACTGTTTTTGTAACCCGCCACAGAGAAATCCTTGTTATCATCTTCTCCAAACAAGCAGTTTTGCAATCCTCCACAAAACACATGCGTTTGCAATCTTCAGTAACCGCCCGAAGGAATATTTTTGTAATCCACAAAAATAAGAATTATTGTGTAACCCGCTTCAACGGGTATCTTTTTTGCAATCCGCCACGAAAGGAATTTGTCTGTGTGTCACACAAGGGATCCTTTGATAGCCCGCAACAAAAGGGATTCTTTTACAATCCGCCAGAAGGGGGACCTTCATGTAATCCCAATATACAAGAAGTCGGCCCTCCTTGCCGAACAAGTGAACCCCAAAACAACTGGGCGAAGAACCCAACCATATGCAGTTGTGAAGACCGTCGTTGTACGCACCGCATTCGGAGGAGCTCCATATAAGGCCACGAAACGTGTGAGGAGTGCCAAAATTTATCCGATGGGCGCAAGCGACAGCAGCCACTGGGGCCGTCGGTGGCATTCCTTATGAGGCCACGAAACCCGTGAAAGGTGTGCCGGAATAGGTGCGGTGGGCGCGTGCGAACGCAGCCACTTGGGGCCGTCGGTGGAGCTCCCTATGGGGTCGCGAAACGTGTGAGGGGTGTGCCGGAATGTGCGCGGTGGGCGCATGCGAACGCAGCCATTGGCTCCTTCGGTGGAGTTTCTTATGGGAGCAACGAAACGCGTGAGGGGTGTGCCAGAATGTGCGTGGGTGACGCATGCAGGCGGTGGTACCGGGGCCTTCGTTGAAGCTCCCTATGGGGCCACGAAACGTGTGATGGGTGTGCCGAAATGGGTATGGGGGACGCATGCGGGCGGTGGCACTGGGGTGTGAATTCCCTATGGGGCCACGAAACGTGTGAGGGATGTGCCGAAATTAGTGCGGGGGACGCATATGGACAGTGGCACTGGGGCTTTCGGTGGAGTTCCCTATGGGGCCGCGAAACGCGTGAAGGGTGTGCCGAAGTGGGTGCGGGGGACGCATGTGGACGGTGGCACTGGTGCCTTCGGTGGAGCCCCCCACGGGGCCACGAAACGTGTGAGGGGTGTGCCGAAATGGGTGCGGGGGACGCATGTGGACGGTGGAGCGGGCGCTTTCGGTGGAGCTTCGTATGGGACCCCCCCCCGTGACGGAGGGGGTGGGGGCGGCGCTTGCGGCGGCGGCGGCTGGCGACGGGCGGCGGAAACGACGATTTTCATTTCTGGGCCGGCGCCGACGCCTGCGGCGGCGGGCGGCGGTGGCGGGGAGCGTTGACGAGGACGACGGTGGTGGTGGTGGTGGTGGTGGTTGTGGTGGTGGTGGTGGTGGTGGTGGTGGTGGTGGTGGTGGTGGTGGTGGTGGGTGGTGGGTGGTCGTGGTGGTGGTGGTGGTGGTGGTGGTGGCGGTGGTGGTGGTTGTGGTGGTGGTGGTGTGGTGGTTGTTTGGTGGTTATGGTGGTGGCGGTGGGTGGTGGTGCTGATGCTGGTGGTGGTTTGGTGGTGGTGTTGGTGGTGGTGGTTTATGGTGGTGGTGGTGGTGGTGGTGGTGGTGGGTGGTGGTGGTTGTGGGGGTGGTGGTGGTGATGGTGTGGTGGTGGTTTGTGGTGGTGGTGGTTTGTGGTGGTGGTGATGGTGGTTGTGGTGGTGGTGGGCTGTGGTGGTGGTGGTGGTTTGGTGGTGGTGTGGTGGTGGTTTGTGGTGGCGGTTTGTGGAGGTGGTGTTGGTGGTGGTGGTGGTGGTTGTGGCGGTGGTGGTTTGTTGTGGTGGTTGATGGTGGTGGTGGTGGTGGTTGGTTGTGCTGCTGGAAGTGGTGGTGGTTGTGTTGGTGGTAGTGTGGTAGATTGTGGTGGTGGTGATGGTAGTGGTGGTGGGTTTTGGTGGTGGCGTTGGTGACGGTGAGTTGTGGTGGTGTGGTGCTGGTGTGGTGATGGTTTGTGGTGGTGGTGGTGGGTTGCAGTAGTGGCGGTGGTTTGTGGACGTTTGTTTGTGGTGGTGGTGGTTGTGCGATGGTTTGTGATGGTGGCGGTGGGTTGTGCTGCTGGTAGTGGTGGTGGTTGTGGCGTCGGTGGTGGTGGTGGTATGGTAGATTGTGGTGGTGGTGGTAGTGGTGGTGGGTTTTTGTGGTGGTGGTGGTGATGGTGAGTTGTGGTGGTGGTTGATGGTGGTGGTGGTTGCTGTGGTGTGGTGGTGGTTGTGTGGTGCTGTTGGTGGTGGTGGTGATGGTGGTGGGTTGAGGCGGTGGCGGTGGTGGTCGTGGTGGTGGTGGTGGTGTTAGTGGTGGTCAGCGTCGCTGCGTCCCCGCCGTCGCTGGCGCCAGCGCCGGCGTTGCTGGCCGCCGCCAGCGCCGGCGCCGGCGCGACGGGGGGGGGGGTTGAACCCCCCCCCCACCCACCCCTTGGGCTGCCTCTGGTCATCGTCGCTGCGTTCCCGCCGCGGGCGCTACGGGAGGCCGCCAACGCCGGCGCCGGCGCCGAGGGGGGGGTGGAAGGGGAGGTTTAAAATCTTCGCCCCCCCCTTGGGAGGGGGGGGGAGGTTTCGGGAGGGGGGGGGTTGGGAGGGAGGGGAGCCCCCCCGGTTTTGATCGACGGCGCCGACTGTTGGGGGCGGGGGGCCCACCCCCCAGTTCGAAACGCGCCGCCGAATGTTCCCAAGGCAAGCGCCCGTGAAACGCGTTCTCTCACAGGTAGGTCAGTTTGCGCGATTGCTCCACAGCCCCATCATCCGCGTTGCCCCGAGCTTCGCACACATCTGGATCGCTCAGCGTATGAGGAGAATGTTGCGCCGTATAACATCCAGCGCAGTTGCATAGGGTCGGGCTTCTGTGCCAGGCTGTTTGGTTTTTTGATCCCACTACCGCACGTGCTTCTAGGATCAATCAAAGGGTCTTCCGTTCGCCCAATGTGTATCAACAGTTGTCCCATTTCATGTTGTTTTCACACGTATTGGATCGACTTGCACTCGTGACCCACAACATTCGACCCCGTCCAGGGATGCCCGTTTCGATGGTCACTGTGATCGAAGCGGGCTTTGGAGGCCAATCTTGACGAACAAACCGCTGACGTTGCTCAGAAGATGACGACGTCGGAGATCTGTGGGCTACTTGCCCCCTGCCTGGTGGCGGGAGCCTTCAAAGAGGGCCGGGTCCCCCTCCTGCGCGCCGGCAGAGGAGCGCGGCGAAGGCGTCAGGTGGGAGGACGTCGTGGCGCAGATGAGGGCCGAGGTGATGTTTGCTTCTTCTTGTATTGTTGTTTTTTACCGCCGAAACGATCGAGTGCGGAGGAGAATTCGGACGCTGTTCAGCTACTCGACGCAAGCCCTGCCACCGTGCCAGCCCAGCACTCTGCGTGGGTAAGTTTACAGTCGGGCCGCTGAAGAAGGAACCTTTTTCGTTGGTGACGGGCTCAGTGTCCCTTTATTTGTTTACAGCTATTCTTAGATTACCCTGAGGTTTTCTGTGGGAAATCGAAGTTTAACTTATGACACAAGGAGCCCCGTTCCTTATTTGGGGTTCCTTCTGACAGCGTTTCGACTGTAGGCACTTCGTCAGACATACACATGTGGCATTGGGAGAACGGCGAAGACGACGAATATGTAAAGGTAGCGAGGATGCTGAAGGAGCCGGGGCGACGAGCAGGAGCGAGAGGTAGTAGAACAAGATCCTGGGTTCAGCGAAGGCGGAACGGGGAAAGTGGGTGAGGAAATCGAGAACAGGTAGCGGAGGAGGGCGGAAGGGAGCATTATAATGATCAGGGGTAGGAGAAGCGGAGGAGCGGAGAAAATCGAATAGCCTTTGGTCCATCCCAGCACCGTGCTTGGGTTGAAGGCATGAAGCCTATTGGATGCTCGTTGGTATCTCGCGGGAGGCCTCTTGGAAGCAGTTCTGGGGCCTCTTGGGGGCCGTTTTGAAGCCTCTCAGGGGTTTATCTGGGGCATTTGGGGGGGCTCTTGGGTACCTTTTGGGCCCTCTTGGGGGGCTCGGAGGTCTGTTGGGGCCTCCTGGGGCCTCCTGGGCGGAATGCTCGGATCTTCGGTTTGTGGAGCAGGAACAAGAGCAGCAGGAGGAGGAGGTGGAGGAGGGGGAGAGAAGCGGGGAAAGAACATGGAGGGGAAGGAGGAAGAGGAGGACGGGTAGGTAGGTAGGTTGGTGTGCCCCCAGCGAGCTTGCAGGCGGAAGCTTCGAACGCAGCTTCCTGTCAGCAAAGGGCAGCGACCTTGGGAGGATTCGAGTCATTGCTAACGTTCCCTTCGCCTTCTTGTGTTGCTCCGCCGATCCCCTCCAACAGAGTGTTGGCGGCGCCCGCTTCGTGTCAATAGTCATGTTTTTGGTAGTTGCAGCTATTTTTGCTTAATGGTAAAATCCCCTCGCGCGTGCCCTCCCCATCGCCCGGGTCGGGCGCTCCCGCGTATTCACATACATACCGTAGTACTTTTTCTTACCGGACACTACAGCCATATCTACAAGGTCTAGGAATCCGAAGTTGAACCCGGGACCTATATTGAGCGATATTTCCAATACAGGTTGAACAGCATTAGCATTCTATAACATTGCCTACGAAGACCACTATTGCTGATACGCGGACTAGCTGGTAAACGGCTGGTATCAGCCGAAATACTCACCACGAGGTCTCGCGATTGCGTCGCAAACCTCGGAGATAACGGGACCAAACAAATACGGAATGATGACGGACCCGGGTACGATTTTCGCTAGTGGAATGATATTGGGCCCGCACTTACCGTACATGGGCATGCTGAATTACATTTAGGTAAGGAAACCCCCGCGGCGGCGTCCAGCGAGTGCGCCACTGGCGCTGCCGCGGGCCCCCCGTAGCCTTTCAGCAAGCCAGATTCCGCGAGCCGAGCAAGTTCGCCCTCGAGCCGCGGCGCGGGCCGCCCAAATATTTCGCGGGACGTCGACCCCGTGGGGGAGGGCGACGCGGAGTGGCACGGGGGCCGCGTGCTTCCGCGGCCCCCGTTACGGGCGTCGGCCAACCAGGCCAACGTTATTACATGACTCCTCTGCCGCGGACGGCGCTGTATCCGCATCGTCGGAAACTGACAGGTCGGTCAGGTCCACGCCGCGTCTTTCCCGCACGGCCAGCCTCTGACTACGGCTCAAGTACGCACGGTGTTCGGCCGACGCTTGGGGCTGGGAGCATGAACGCAGTTGTCGACGGACCTACGGCTGAGGGCACCTACGTGGCCGAGGCCTCTAGCATCGACACCCCCGCCACTGCGGCGAGCGGCCGACACGAGACGTCGGACCCCGAAGAAGACGACGTTGACCGTGCCGACGACATCACGCCGAAGTTTGCGGAGCCGAATGACCTGCGAGGATTGGCATCCAAAGGGCCCCGGCCATCCTCGACCTGTCTGCGACCTCCCCGATAGGGAAACGGTTTAAAACGGATGGGATTTCCGCATGCAAGCCAGCGGGCGACGAGGAGAGTTACGTCCCCGAGTCGCCGGGCCCCATCGATCTTCTCGCGCGCATCCACCCGGAAAGCTTCGTCTGGAGCGCCACGCGACAGTTCGCTCCGCGCGCGCGCTCGTTGGAGAGGTTCGCTCCGACGGCGTTGGGCCGCGCCAACAGGACCCCCCATCAGGCGCATGTTCATCTGCTCGTGCCGCCAGATCCTGGGTATCGGGCGCGAGGGTTCAAGATCCCTGCGCCAAGTTCTGGCCGAGCTGCGCTAAGTTCCGCATGAGTTGGCGCCCCGGAGATCGCAGGCGGCGCTGGAAACATTTCTCCGCGTGCGCTCATCAGATTGCCACCTTTGCAATCTTTTGTTCCTGTGCCCAGACCGCCCCCGCCGACGGCTCAAAACTGCACGGCGCTACGCGGGCAGAAGCGGGGACAAGCAGGGGCAACGAAGCACGAGGCGGCAATTGCAATTGAGCCGGCACAGCCGACAGCTCGAAGAACGCGTCGCATCCCAGACTGCCCCCGGAGCGGGGCCATTCGACTGCCCGCCGCTGTCAGAGTCGCCTCTAAATTGCGTCGAGGGCGCTTCGGAGGCAGCGGCGGCACAACCGCCCCGCGACGAGACCACCGAGCGACCTGAAGCATTCGAAGACAGGACAAAGGCTGAACACTGAACACCAACGACCGACGGGGACGGTCACTGGGGCGACGCGAGGAATGGACCAAGCGGCCCAAGAGAGGGAGGATGGAGCGAGCGGGGGCGCTGCCCGGCCCGAGAGGCTCGCAGAAGCAGAAGCTGCCGGCGAAACCTCGGCATGGAGGGAAGCAGCGAAACCGACGGGGGAGAACGAGAGAGCGGAGCGCGAGAGCGCCGCCCCTGCAGCCACCTCTCTTGAACACGCCCCGCCGGGCCCCGCGAGGCCCGGCGGCGGCGGAGGAGGGGGCGGCAGCGCGCGCCAGGGCCAAGACGGCGAAGTTGACCTGCCACTTTCGAGCGGAGCGTGTAAGCGACCCCATGGATCGGGCCTTCCCGGCGGCGATGGTGACCCAGGTGGGGGGGGGGGGGGCGATGGCTCGCCCGACGGCGATTCCGACGACGGGTCGGAAGATCCCCCCAGGTGGCGACGAAGAGGAGGATGGAGGGCGGCGTCGGGACCGACGCTGGGGGCCGCCCAGCGGCCCTCCTGATGAGGACACGGGCGGCCGCGCTCCACGGGGGCACTTTGGGTCAGATCGCGCATCGGAACGACGTGGGGAAAACAGGCCCAGTCGCCATCGAGCCGATCACCGACGCAGCCGGCGTCCGAAAATGGAGCAGAGGCGCCACCAGAAACGTTGCATAGTGTTTCCCGAATTGGGAGACCGCCTCCTCTTGGATCTCGGATGCATTCGATATTTCAAGGAGTCCAAGCCAGAGTCTTTCGAGGATCACGGCTCCTTCGGGCAATTTCATTTGACGGTCGCGTCAGATCCCACGAGTGAAATCAAGAAGATTGCATGATATCAAAAATATTCTACATCTTCGGTACTTCGCCTGCGAAGTGGATCGCCCAGATACTGCCATGCTGAAACAGAATTGCGACGTTGAAGGGCCTGCCCATCTTGCTGATCATAGCCGCGCGCGTGACCGCGCGGGAAGATTACGGTCATGTGCGCGCACTAGGATCCGAGGATATCAGGTCTGCGGCGCGCGCAGAGACCGATGCCGATGATTGTTCGCTTCCACAAAGGTGAAGGTTATGAGTAAAAATTGACCAGGCCCACAAGTCTTTCCGACCATCCATTCAAGAGCAGTTCCATCGGGAGATGAAGAAGTGCCCGTGCACGGCGATGACCCTCACGACGCACGATCACAGCAACGACCCCATACGGCAAGGGCACGAAGTCGCACGATTGGCTGTTGAGGCAGATCGTCCGTCACTCGCTCACAGACCGCGGCACCAGCAACCGAGCTGTCCAACAGAAGCAGCCCAACACCCGGGACTCACCCAGAGGAAGCGGCCGAGGTGATGGCGAGGGCGACGGCGAGAACTCCGCGCGCACGAAGGGCGGCCACCTCGAGATATCAGTCGAGTGCCGCGCGCGCGCGAACGGGACTTGCCCGCGCGCGCGAGCGCAGCGCCAATACACGCACCCTAAGACTGGGGCCCCCGCTCAGATGCAAACCGCCCCAGGACAGCCCGCGGCTGCTCCGGCCGGCAAGAGCAGGGAACAGAGGGGGCAGGAAAAAGAAGTACACGGAGGTGGCAAGTCCAAGGGCAAGTCTGATCACATGTCTAGAGACCGGGAGCGCGGGAAGCGAACTTGCTGCGACGGCTCTGGAAGTCCGACCGCCAGCGCTGGAGAAGACGGGAGAGCTTGCAGAACTGCGCCTCTTGGGCCGTTGGGGGGCCCTTTTGTGCCTTTGGGTTGGGGGCCCTCCTGGAGACCTCTTGGGCCGCTTGGGGGCGTTCTTGGGAGTTCGGGGGGCCCTCTTGGAGGCCTCTTGGGCCGTTTTGGGGCGACCTTTGGGGCCTTCGGGGCCGTTTTGGCACGTCGGGAAGCAGAGACGACGGGAATGCCAAAAACCTCCGAACACCTAAATTCAATGAATGTTTAGAGTTTCTTAGGGCCTTCTTTGGAGGCCTCTTCGAGGCCTCTTACGGCGTCTTGGGGGCCTCTTGGGCCGTCTTGGGTTTATTTTGTGCGTCTTGGGGCGATATTCCGGCGACTCAGGGCTCCCCTTTGGGCTTGGAACAAGATGCGGGGGATCCCCAGGGGTGCGCGACAAACCCCAAGAGACTTCAGAAATCAGGAGG